TCTCTCTCTCTCTCTCTCTCTCTCTCTGTGTGTGTGTGTGTGTGCAGTTCCAAGCAGGCTTCCCCAACGGCTAGTTCTTGTTTCCTTTTGAAATTTCTTATTCTTTTTTTTTTTTTTTTTCAGAAAAGAACATCTCCTTGTTCTATGACGTACCGTCATTCAGAAGCTGATTCCCTTAGGGCATATTCACAGTACTAGCACACTTGCGACCGAATTTGGCCATATTTAGAGGCCAGGTACATCATACTACGAGCACTTTTGTTCGCACATCTACTGTCATGTAAGCCAAGGACATACTCCCAGGAGCACTTATGCGACTGAATTTGGCCATATTTAGCGCCAAAAACACCCCGTAAAGTCCTTGATGCCCTCTCTACGTCCTTCGCCTTGCCTGATCCCTTCCTCCCTCTCCCTCCTCCTCTTTCTCTCTCTCTTCCTCTCCCTTCCTCCCTCATTCAATCAGTGACTTTACCCCAAATAACGTATGTTATACAGTATGTATGTAAATATATATTGTCACAAAGTTATATCAGAGCGCAAAAGCGAACAAAAGAATTATATATGTCTATTCTACGAAAGTTCACTTCCCATTAGGGACTGCTATTTCAACTTACTGTTGTATAGAACAATAGTCATTCACAGAGATCAGAGCGAAAGAGAGAAAGAGTGAGGGAGACAAACCACCAGAGCGAAAGAGAAAAAGAGTGAGGGAGACACCCCACCAAAAATTGACACCGAGAGGAAACAAGACTAAGTTCTTTTTAGCGATCAGGTTACTTTTTTGCACTCCACGATCTCCCACAAAATTAATGTGAAGAAGAAGAAGAATAGTGAAAACAGTCAGTGTCCATAGACTGCTTCTCGTACACGCATCAACATACTATTTACATTTCTTCTTCTCCGCATGTACAACTCTCAGTTGAAAACGCGCAATTTCCCCTCAGGGGGCGTTTCGGCTAATCAGGCTGCGCTCCTGGCACTCGCTCCTCAGGGGGCTTCTCCTCCGACCAAGCAACTGAGAAGACGAAGAAGACGAAGAAGAAGAAGAAGAAGAAGAAGAAGAAGAAGGAAGAAGAAGAAGAAGAAGGAAGAAGAATAAAGAAGGAAGAAGGAAGAAGGAAGAAGGAAGAAGGAAGAAGAAGAAGAATTGTATCCACGAGCTGATGGCAAGAATCGAACACGGGACCGGGTCCCACAAGGGGGTCGGTGGCAAGCTCAACCAAACGACTAAGCTCACATGGTTGAAACTTAGACGAAGAAAAAGAAGCAGCAGCAGCAGCAGCAGCAATCGCCAACACTTGGTCAACACGACGAAGCACGAAGTAGTATATTACCAAGATCAGCGTGTTCCGAAGAAGAAGAAGAAGAAGAAGAAGAAGAAGGAAGAAGAGTGAAAACAGAGGCCAGCTGCCTGTCGTACACGCTGCAAAAGCTCTTCACAACATAGCCGCGCGCACTAGTCTCAGCTTACGCGCAGCGTGTACCGAAGCAGCAGCAGCAGCAGCAGCAGAAGAAGAAGAAGAAGAAGAAGAGGAAGAAGAAGAAGAAGAAGAAGAGAGAAAACAGGGGCCAAGTGCTTGTCGTACACGCTTCAAAAGCTCTTCACAACATAGCCGCGCGCACTAGTCTCAGCTTACGCGAAGCGTGTACCCAAGCAGAAGCAGAGGAAGAAGAAGAAGAAGAAGAAGAAGAAGAAGAAGAAAAAGAAGAAGAAGAAGAGTGAAAAAGTGAAAAAGTGAAACACAGAGGCCAACTGCCTCCCGAACACGCTTGTCGCTGCCTTTCGCAAGCGCTCCTCAAAATTTCATTACAATTCCGCACATACAAGTGTCAGAAAATGCGCGCATTCTCCGATGCCGGGTATCGATCCCTTGCGCTCGGGATCATCCTCAAGGGACTTTCCGCATTCACATCCCTCCCCTCCCCTCCACCACTGCCACCTCTCTGTCTCTCTGTCTGTCTCTCTCTCTCTCTCTCTCTCTCTCTCTCTCTCTCTCTCTCTCTCTCTC